TAGATTTTAGGTACTATGTTTAGCGACAGACATAAACACCAATAAGTCATAATCGTCTCTGCCAGAGTGCTTAGAAGCCCATAGGGGAGTCAGACAAATTAGGTAATTACAAATCAGTGTGGTGATAATAGGGGTAAGTATAAGGTGCTATAGTATTCCTCCACAAACCCTGACATACACATGAAATTTATTACGCCACATCCTTGATTAAAATCCTCCCAAGTACTCCTATCCCTTGTAGACTAAATCAGAGCTTCTTAGACTGGCATGTCAAATGCTTACCCGTTGGCCCCCACCAATTCTGCCAAGTGTCATCTCAGCCCCTGCTTGCAGACTCTCTGGACTAGAAATGTTAAGCTAAGTAGATGTTCTTAGACAGCTTCCACTGAACTACCTGCCGAATGAACCAGCGCTCTCCATTCTCTCTGTGAGATACATTAACACTCACATTGAGACTTGGCTGCTAGCAGGCTGTCCTCTAGTGCACATTGTACCCAACAAGTGAGACATAAACTCACCCAAGTCAGTCGTATGAGTTCCCAAACTCATTTAGGCCAGTCAGACTTGTTACTGTAATTATATTATGCAAGCTGACAAAACAGGAATATGCAAAGAAACACTGCTGTTGATCTGTGAGAACTACCTTGAATGGTTTGAAAAGACTTGCTAAAGGCATGTTGAAATAATATTGCTAGCCAATAGGGTGGGAAAAGTGATGGTAAAAGATGGGGGTGGGGAGATAGCTTTAAAAAGCTAGGCATCCATATTTAGATTTCTTTGAAAGTACTTTTCCATTTTGAAGAAAGCAAAACTAGGAGTAGATGAAGTGTTACTCGTGTTTGTTACCTAAGAAAGACAATGCAGAACTAGAATCAATGACCCCACACCCAAAGGAACAGCCTTGGCCTTGTAACAAAAGAGTGGTGAATGGACACACAGTAATATGTTTTAAATTCAAATAAAATGTTCAAGGTAGAAACATATTATTTTTTACCAAATCCCCTGTGTCTGACTTTAGGAAGTAACCACCAACACTCTACTGTTCCCAAGTAAGACAGGTAAAGAGTCATCACCTACTGTATTTGTAACTCCCCAAATGGTCCATACTCTGTCCCAGCTCCATGACTTAGAACATGTTGTTTCCTCTGCCAGAAAATGCCTTCTCTTTACTCCAGGCTCCTTCATCTGGCCCACTCCTACTTAGTCTGCACTGCCACATCAAGTGTGACTTCCTTCACGCTACCCCTTCTTGGTGCTTCTTCCCTAAGGCATCCTTGTTGTTCTTTTTTTTCACGCAGCAGCAGAACCTCCTTCCTCCTTGGGGAAAGGCCCACTCTATGAGCCAGAGCCTGCCTCTCCCTAAGATGAAAACAACAGCTATTCTCCTCTCTGCTTCCCATTGCTGGGGCCTAGGCACATGGGCTAGGGATAGTTGCTATCAACTACAGGCTCCAGCTCTGCCTTTAAACCAGCAGCTGGTGATGTGAAACTGCTAGACGCTGCTGCCGAGTCTGCTCTGGGGCTGGTGGTGGCAGTGGAGGCAGCTGTTTTCAGATTCTGGAGGTACCAGTGGTAGAGACAGGAGGTGGCTCTGTGGCCTCCAAGTTTGGTTCTTGGACCCTCCCAGATATTCTGTGAGCCCTTTAATAGCCTTGAATAAATTCCTTTTCTGCTCATATTAGTCAAAACTGGTTTCTATTGCTTAAAGCTAAGAATTGTGACTGACGTTTTGACTTAAAGTAATGGCATGACATCGTAACCGTTCCTCCGTGTCTTTGTCCCGACGTGATTGTGAGCTGGGAACATCCCATCTCATCTCTGTAACCCCAGTGCCCAGCACAGTGCAAAGTCATGCAAAGCAGATCCTCAACAAATCACTATTAATTTGCAAATTAATTAATTAATTGATGAAAAAAGTTTCCTCTGAAAATCCAAGCCCATAAAAGGACAGCAAATGACCCCAGAATGTTTCCAGTGACTGAGGAGAACTTTGGCCCATTCTGAGAATCCTTCTATCCATATTTCTCACAGAAGACAAGTACAGTCACAGAGAGTTCCATAGCATTTAATTAAATACAAGATGTTTAACACACATTGAATACTTGTATACTTAGCAGCTCCGCAAAATGTTTGTAATGCAGGTGAAGAGTACACAGTTCAATCAGAGACTATCAGTGTAGTGATGGATATTTTTAAGAATAACCCCAAAGAAAATCCACTGAGCTGGCAGAAACGTCACCTGATCTGCATCGTTCCAGCTGTCCAACCGCGTATTCTCATCCTCTCCCTGGTCAGTTCCAAGCCTTGCAGCCCCGCCATAAATGCTTTCAAAACACAATTCTGCACTCTGAAACAGCCCATGCTTGGCTTTTCTGAAGCAAATTTCCATGGAAATCAGAATTAAGGGAGAGGCGAAGTCTGGTAGAAAATCAATCAAATAAGCCAGGTTCCCCTAGATCCAGACACGGTTAATTGACCAAATTAGCCACCTATTTATCAGTTTTCCTTTCTTTTCGTGCTATATAGAACTATCCATTTACATCTCTGATTTATGCATTGTCTCTGACCAGGAGTTTTTCTTTCTTAGTGAAATACAAAAGGGGGTTGATGAGAACAAATTTGTAATCTTACATTATACATTGTCTCTGAGTATATAATCAAGCATTAGCAGCAGTTATGATTATGACAGTATGGTACACTAATTTTAAATGCCTCCAGTAACAGACAGACGTTCACACACTAAATTCACATGATAACCCGTGCCGAACAACATTGGAACAGAGGATTTTAGAGCTGGAGAGACCTTGATCTTCCTCTAGACTTATTTCCTCATTTCTTCAAGAGGTTATCTATTTATATCAGGGATACAAATTTATGGCTTCCAGTCCTGACCTAATATGTAAGGTTGAGTAACTGACCCATCTTCTCCATGTCCCAATTTTCCCATAAGCCAAAAATACTAATAATAAATACTTCATAGGACATCTGTGAATAAGGTACTAGAGAGCTAGGATGGGCATGAGGTTTCCTGTGATGATCTCCTCTTTGAGACTTGGCTCCCATTTCTAAAAAAGCTAAAGAACATATGCTCACCTGTGTGGAAAATGTCTTCTGCTACTTACACACCAGGCAGATTCTACTTTTCCTCCATGCAGATGTATATCACTTTTGTGGCATTTTTCTCTGACTGTCTCCAACAGGGCACTTCGAACATGCATCCATTATAGTATTTTGTGTTATTACAACCATCTGTTTACAAACCTGCCATTTTCGTTCAATTTTTTGCTTTATGAGGGCAGAGTCCCAACCTTGCTTGTTTTAGATACCCTGTGCCTAACACTGTTGTTGGCACATAGCAGGCTTTCCATAAATACTTGTCAAAGAAATGCAAGGGATAATGCTTATGGAAGTGCTTTGAAAATGACAAAAGCACTAAGAAATCTAAAGGATTATAGGAATATATTCATTACCACTGATTCAGAGGAAAGGACTTGGAAAGTACAACACCCAAAGGAAGAACAAAATGGTGTGATTATTATTAGGCCTCTAAGCCAACAGATAAGATCCATTAGTTCACTATTTAAAACTCGCTCCACAGACATCACAGACCAAAACAAATAAGAAGACTAAAAAATTAAAAACACTTAGCCCTCCCCCTAAACAAATTAAGAACAGAACAAAGAAAAAAATGCAAAATGTAAACAACAATGACAGACTGCAAACAAACCCCTATGTCCTTCATTACTTCCCCGTCCTGCCTCTGCTCTGCCTGGTTCTGGGTACACCGGGGTCTGGGGGTCTGTAGGAGAGGGGTTGGCTACACTCCCCCGAGCTGAGACCACTCAGCTGCCTTGACCTGATTTGAGATAGTCATTAGAAATTCATCTAGACCAAGAAATGCAAGAGGACACATGTCAAATATTCATAATACATTTCTTCTCTGTATCTTCGAGAACATGGCCACAGTCGGTTCACTCACTGTATGTGCTTCCGTGTCTTCTTCCTGAAGTTTGTGGCAACATCCATGGCTGTAGAACTACGGACAGTTGTGGATGAATGCAGGGTGGGGCAGTCTTTACACACACAGAAGGGTTATTCCCTGACCATTGCTCAAATGCCAGAGTCAGCTACAGGTACGCCTATCATAGATGGATGTGGCTGAGTGGAGTAGTGGGAGTAGGATCGCGCTCTCAGTAACTAACAATAGAAATTCTGGGCTTCTAGTTTATCCCAGCTTGAACACTTTTTCATAAAAATGAAATTAAATGGGCTTTCTGGCTTTTTCTTGCCCTCTTCTCTTTTTGTAGACATGGCTGGCCATCGTGCCTCACATTTCATGAGACCATTTCTCCCCCACTTTCTTTGTCATAGCCTTCTTAGTTCGGGTAACCATATGTCCCCATTTGTCTGGGACACTCCCAGTTTACGCTTGTTGCCCTGGAGGGATTATTTATAACTTTCCCTTTCACTTTCAAAATTGACCCAGTTTGGACAGTTAAATTACATAGTCACCCTCTTATGAGTGAGGTTTGGCGCTCAAGAATGGGATAGTCCCTAGTTAAGAGGAAGGCACGTGGTTTGGAGGAGGCTGCAGTTAGACTCCTGGGCATCAAATCTGGGTACCACCTCTCGCTGAGTGGGAAACACGGACAAGTTACTTTAAGCCTCCATTTTATCATTGATAACAAAGAGAATAATAAAATAATTGCACCCACCTCCCGGGATTATTGTGAGGATGAGGCGAGACAAGATGTGCAGAGCACTTAGCACAGCACTGGATACAGAGTAAGTCCTAAGAACGGCATCTATTATTCTTGTTCTCCCTTCCTTCTTCATCCTTTGCTCCTTTCCTGCCTTCCTTACTCCTCCATCCTTTCCTCCATCCTTTCTTTCACTGTTTCCTGCTTTTTTTTTCTGAAATAATTCAATCATTTGGGTTGCCTGAAGCAGAATGCTCCTGCCTCATGCCAAACGCCATTGAAGCAGGGAAGAGTGGTCAAAGCGATGTTTCAGAGTCCTGTAGATTGTGTAGAGGGGTTGCCTTAATTTTGTCTTCTTTGTGCTGCGAGAGAGACTAGGAGCTCAGTCACCTTTTGTTGGTCACAATGGTTCTAGTCCTGGGTTTCTTATAATTCACTGGTTTTGGTAGAAGCTGGACATGGTGACATATGCCTCTTCTTGACTTGATCCCAAGGAAGTGAGGAGGGGCTGTCCCTGGACAGCAGGATTCAACGTCAGGATTCCCGACTGGAAAGGAAATGAAGGGGGCAGCGTGCTGTTTGTAGTTCCAGTGCCAAGCAGCAGGCCCTGGTACACCTGAGGCCCATTCTCGCCACCTTCCCTGCAGTCTGGGGACCTGGAGGAGGCGAGAACAGGGGCGTCGCACACACTGACATTCCCAGCCAGGCATCCGAGGGGTGAATCTCCTCTGAAAGTTTTTGGGGTGATGACTTCATGCTGGGATGGCCAGTTGTGGCCCTGCACACCCCCTCCAAGCCTCTGCTTTTCAGAATCATCTAGTTGTGGAGGAAAGGTGTATTGCAGAAAGCCTTCTGCTTCATCTTTAGCTTGGATGCCATCCACCTTATGAATCTGGCAGTCCAGGAAACTTTCAGGATTGAAACTCACATTCAAATTCTGAACCAAAAAAGAGAGGAGGCATTAAGATTGCACCAGAGAGACACACCACCAAATGTTCTGTTCAGGAAAACATCTAAAGAACTTTCTGATAGGGGTTTACCAGGAAACATTAGAGAATAACCCACATGTTCTAGTTGACTCTTTGCCTCTGGAGGTGATGTGACACATCAGGGCCTGAAGTAACCACTGGCTGTGCCCTCCAGCACTGCGGAAGCCTGGGAAATTCTGAGACTTGTATCTAATTTTAGTTTCCTACCTCTGGGGACCTGCAGCTGAGATCTTAGGAGGGATCCTAATTATGGGATGCACAAAAGACCAAAACTTGAGGTTCAATCATTCTTTATCCTGCAACATCATTCTTGGCTACTGGGATGCCTCCAACATAGTGGCAGAAGCAGTAGAAGCACTCACCTTTTTTGGTTTCTTGCACAGTTGTTCCAGAGTCTTCTTATGATCAGGGAGACTGGGCCATACAATAGGCTTAATTCTGAAATAAGAGGGCATTGATAGATGAAACAAATAGCACAGGGAGCAGGCACAACAGAGCTTTCCACATATTCTGAGTCAGGAATCAGAAGAGCAGATTTCTAGTTTTGGCTATGCCACAACTAGGTGAATGACCTTGGACAAATGACTTGCTTTCTCTGAGCCTCAGTGTCCTATCAATCCATGGAGGAGTTCGGCATGAGATCGTTGTCAGTGATCTACTCTGTGAACAAGACACAAGGATACACCTCTGGGAAAGAGCCCTGGAGAAAAGGAACAATGAGGCTTGGCAATGGTCTAGCTATGAAACCAAAATTTGACCTGCTCATCTATTCCCTATATTGGTGTTGTCATCTTATTCTTTCTCTTTATTGGCAGCAACTCCTCTGGTCTAATTTTGATGGAAATGAGAAATATTTTTTAAGTTACCCAGGGAAATTGCTTTAAGGTGGTACTTTGCAAACTCGAGTATCCAGGGGATATGTGGCCCTTTGCTGATGGCATCTTCCTGGTACATTAATAACTTGACTAGTATGTGTCTAAAACATCATTTTATGATGAGACAAACATGGACATATCATGGGATAGAAAACAAAATTCCCATGAATTTGTGTGCTGAAAGTCAAGACTTCAAGTACATTCTGCATTTTCCATGGGTGCCTCAGCTGCATTCTGGAGGCAAGGCTCCTACTCATTTAGGAGACTTTGGAAGAAAGGTTTGGGGGGAGGGTTTGCCCTATGTCTAGTTCATGTATTTTCACCTCTCATGAAATTAACTATGGAAATTCACCAGTGCCTGAAGATAAGGAAGGATATTGGGCACCATAACTCCTGAAATGCCTTATTCCCCTTTGTAGTTTTCTTGTCAACAAATAGGGTTAGAGCTCTGACTGTCTGGAATCCCACATAACCACTATCTGATTATTTAAAGAAATTCACCTTTTTTTCCATAACACGCAGGCCAAAATGACCATCAGAGCCACAGAGAAGAAACTCACAATGCTGATAATTAGTAAAACAGGATCCATCTCCCCTGGAATGCAAGGATAGATCTTGGTTAGCAATCACTAAACATGCAGTGAGGAAGACTTTCATGACTTTTGAGTGTATTGAGTAACTTGGGCCCGTTTATTCTTTCTTGAAAGCTGTTCTTCAGTGAACAGGATGATGTACTAGCTTTATGGGGGGATTTTGGCTTCAGTAAGTGGCACTAACTTAGGTGACTAGGTCCAGAATATCTGTCACTTGAAATGTTAAAATGACCTAGCATTAAAGATACCAGCATCCCCTTCCCAGCTCCCATTACCAAGAGAAAGAAACTGAGCAGGGGGGAGATGAGACAAATGTTCTACCCTACAGTCTCAGCAATTTCTAGGGCGAGGATGGGAGGCTGGTATGGAGGAACAGTTCCCCTCAACCCCCAAAGGGAAGGTATATGTGGGATGCTTAGGGTCCACAGGGGCCTGCCTGAGCCATGTTCTTTGGCTCTTCTGGCCATTCTTACTTCCTAGACCCCCAGGATATCTTTATTATTCTGGAAAAGGGGCTACGGGAGAGCCACATCTGTCTGCCCATCTGCCATCAACAAAGGTCTTCTCCAGAGGGACCTTAGATACCAGCCATTGGGATCCCAGTCTAAATTGGTAAACTGGAGGTAGTCGGTGGGGATTTTGTTTAGAATTATTATCAGCTCCCAGGAGCACCCAAGGCAGTAGAGTCTAGATGGCTTACATCATTGATCAGCGACTAAGGACTACTCCCACCACTTCCCTGTTCTTCACAAAAGGGGCAAAGATGGCAGGTCCTTCTCCAAAGAAAGTGTAGGAATGCCCGTAGGGGAGTCAGTCATCTCTGTAGCTCTCACTCTCACTCGCACACATTTTTTAAAAATTATTTTACTGAGGTCATATTGGTTTATAACATTGTGTAATTTCAGGTGTATATTATTATATATCAGTTTCTGTATAGACTGCACCGTGTCTATGGCCATACCACCCTGAATGCATCCCATCCCATCACTCACACACTTTAACATGCAAATCACAATGAGGGGAGGGAAGACTCTATAATCACTTCTCACCGATGGTGGTCTCCGGAGTCCTGAAGTGGAAACTTGGACTCCATTCACTCCAGATGCCTTCAAAGTAGTTGGTGTTAGGGATGGATCGGACTTTAATCTCATACATCGCATCAGGTTGTAGCTTTCTCTGTAGGAGTGTCAGCTTTGTACTGGATAAATTCACATGCTAAAGAGCAAAAAGTGCCAGTACATTTTTAGGATGGAAAAAGAGGTGGTGCCCAGACCTCCCAAGTCATTTCAAGTTGAGTATTTTTAGTCATATGTGCATCCTATCAAAGCCCTCTCACATTTGTTACAAGAAGGAGCTCTGACGTGGAGGGGTCAGTAGCAGAATTTGAGGCAAGGTCTGTAAGTTCATAAATGATACCACAAATGGTCAAGGGGGGCAGTGGTACAATGGGTCCTTATTCAGGTGACTTGGGATCTCTCACTGTGGAAGGATATTAATCATTCCCAGGATCCCACCTTCTTTTCCACACTTCCCTCTCTTCATTTTCTTTCTCTTCCCTTTAGTATCCCAAGGGAAGATGACAGAGGTTGATCAGGTTAGTGAGCAAAAATCACTTCCCTCCAGAAAGATACCATTGTACATTGTGAATAGCAAAATAGAGATGACATTCTCTCTAGTACTGTGTCTTCTCCTTAAGAAAAGAAGCAATCTATCAATTTGATAGGTAAAACTGTTATTTTACTGTTATTTGCTTTTATATTTATTTGATTTCTAGTTAGTTTTCATATATTTATTGAATTTACATATTTTTTATTTTGTGAAACATTCTCAAATTTCTTGCTAATTTTTCTATTGTTATATTTGTCTTTTTCTTAGTGATTTATAAGACCTCTTTATATATTAAGGATATTAAACATCTGTCAGTTGTATGCATGGCAACTTAATCCTAATTTTTAATGTGATTTACAATTTTGATTATTGTGTGCGCTGACATTTATAAGGCTTTCTTTTTATGCAGTCACATGTATCAATCTTTTGCTTTCTTTTATAGCTTTTACGCTTAGAATGTTCTTCATCTCAAGATTATAGAAACATTTACCTATATTTTTTCTAGCTTTTCTAGAGTTTCTCATTTACATAATTTCCTTAAATCATCTTTTATTTTATTGTTCTATGGAAGGACTTAGGCATTTAACTTATTTTATTTCCAAACAGTTAACCAATTGTCCTGGCACCATTTGTTCAAAATCTCTCCTTTCTCCACTGTAGTTGCTTTTCCATCAATGCAATTTTCAAATGAAGACTGGAAGAGGACGGAATCAAGGTCACCCACTTTGTGTGTATGTGGGGGGCGGGGCGAGGATAGAAGGGGGAGAAGGTGGTTTGGGGCAGGCATTGCACTTATGTAAGTAGCACGTGGCAGCATAGTGCAAACAAACAAGTCTGATCCTGGCCAGAGGAACAAGAATAGTATGGATAAGTAGGGACGTTTTTGTCTTGAGAAAGAAAAGCCACCATCTGTTTTCTGTCCATGTCGTACAAAAAGGATGAAAGTGAAGCCAGTGGGATCAGAGGAAGCTGAGAACCTGGGACCTTCTACTTTTCTCCCACTTCCTCGCCGGAACAGATTGCAGAGACAGCCAGACCACTCCAACTGCAGGGTAAATCATGAAGAGTCTAAATAACCCTTCAGAATATGAAGGTGAAACTTGAGTTTTTACTGCAAGAATTAGGAACTCAGGCTTAAAAAAAAAAAAAAAGAAAAATATTTTACCTCCTCTCCTCTTTTACTTCATGCTGCTCCCACAACTCCCATAAACCAAATTGTGGCTGTGCCTTGGTGATGTTTTCTGCCTGATTTGCTGTGAAAGTTGTGCTAAATGTGATACTTTTTGTAACCCCCAAATAAATAGGATTGATTTAGTCTCCGTCTATATTGGTAGTTCAACAGCCTAATTTAGAAACATTATAAAGACAAAAAACAGAGCAAGAAAAGAAAATCAGAGCTAGAACAGGAACGGGCCAAGGAAGATCCAGGTTTCATGGGGCCTGAAGCTTTTACACTTTGGGGAGCTTCTTTCAGTAAAAGGTACATTTTGAACCCAAAATTGCTAGGGGCCCTTGCTGGGTAAATGTACCTCTAGAACAATAAAATATGTAGCATTAAGAAATTTTTTTTTATAGTTTTACATATGATATATTTTTAACTTATATATGATTTATTTATTAATTATATATATCTTTATACATTTCATAATGTATAAATGTAATTGATCTACATACCATCCAATCATTTTCATTTTTTTCCTGGCGGTAGGCTACCTCATGCATTAAATCTTTCACATACTTCTTTTGCAAGTGCGATGTATTAAATGTCACCACAAAGTCATTTGCTTCCTCACGATAGATAACTCTTATGTCAAAAGGAGCCTCAGGTTTAACTGGAAAGGTAAAAGAAATGGGGTCAGTCTATAGAGCAGTCAAGGAGATAATTATAATCTTTACATTTCATCTACTCTGAAAATCACATTTCTTTTCTGTATCAGTAACTGGCTAACAGTCTAGAAAATCATTTCTTCTTCTTCCTGGTTCAAAGCCAGACTACATTTCCCAGCCTCCCTTGCATTTTGGTGTGGCCTTGCGAGCAATGTGGGTCGAAGTGATGTGCTCCGCTGCCCATTCTGGCCCAGAAACCCTGCATATGTTACTCCATGCTTATTGCCCCTTCCACCACCTGGAGTCGTATATTGAAGATAGTGAACCCACGGGATGAAGAACCCCCGGATCTTGCTTGGAGGAGCACCAGCCACAGGTTAGAAAAACCTATTTTCGCTCTTATGTGAGCAAGAAATAAACTTCTGTTGTTTGAGATATATATATTTTTAGGGCTTATTTCTTATAGCAGCTAGTGCTAATTATATACCAAAACTCATTCTCTTTGCCTTTCGATTCCTGGAGAACTTGTTACTAATTAGCCCCAAAGCAGGAATATTTAAACTTTGAGTCTTCATTATTCCAATACAGTCAGGTTATAAGCTGGGAGCTTTGCACCTCATCTCAGCTATATAGAAACTGAGGATCTGCATGCTGGCGCTGGCTCATAACTTGCAGCGTGACCTCATGCTGCTCCCTCCTTCAGTCTCGTTTGCATTAGCTGGAAACTCCTCTCTGGCCTCTTCCTTCTGCTTGCCTGTCTCTCAAAGTTGCTGTAGGATCACAGGCACCATATATGAAATGCTGTTGGAGGGAGATTATTATCGTTGGAGAGGTATTATTTCGGGCAGAACTAACCCTGAGAAAAATATCAAATTCCTAAAAAGTCATGTATGTCAGGCTGCCTCCCCACCATTAACTGGGGGCTTCCCTGTCTTGGCCTCTTACCTGCTCTTTCATCGGAGACTGGGAAGTTAGTTGTCTAGGGATGGGGCAGCCACTTTTTTGCATGGCTGATCTCAGACAGAGGTGGGGGATCATGTAGTTCAAAATCTAAACTAAACCTATTATTAACGAGAGAGTGTGTGTTCATCAAACTTTCACTCAGTAGACCGAGCTGGATTCTAGGCTAGAGCTGGGCTTTAAGACTGACTTGCCAACCCAGGAAAATCAACTTGTGTGGTGGAGTTTGACCCACTTACTGTAATCACGCTTATAGTGGTGACTGCCTAAGTTTCTCTGGCGTTGCCCCAGAGGTACTGAAAAAGAGGAAGCTCATTATCCTTGGATGTCTTGTAAAAGGGGAAGTTTATCCTTTCTTACTCTTAGCTGCACTGTGAAAAGGGAAGATGCCCTAAAGGGAAGCAGGAGAAAAAGGAGTGGGTGTAGAGCAACAGACCAACAGAGGTTATTGTCAACCCTCTTACACCTGCCAAGCCAGTTCTTACCCTTCATTCAAGGAAATAATTAAGATTTACATTCTCAACAAGACCTCTGACACGGAATCCCTGGCCCGTCCCCGTCTCCCAAGAACACTTAATAATGGGACAATTAAGGAAAGAACAGACTAACATTGATTATACACCTACTAAACGCCAAGTGCTTTACTTACACTTCTTCCATCAACGATCACTTATCACCACTATACTGATGAGGGAATGGGTCTCAGAGAGGCTGATTAACTTAAGTTCAGGCCCCTGTAGAATCTTTAACAGCATTTAAATCCAGTTCTGGCTGATTCTGACCCTTGATTTAACTTTTGTTTCTCTACTCCGTTATCCCACGCTGGCTTGTCCAAGCTCTCTCCAAGCAGGTCTGCCTCCAGCCCACATGGTGTCTTTGAGCACATTAGAAAAAGGTGCTCATGCCACAAGCAACATGTTAAAAAGTTAATTTATTCTTGCACGACCTGAATAATTATATAGATTTACCCTGCCAAGAAAAGTGGGAAGGCAGGAAGCTGCCCTGCCTGCCTTATTGGGGGGCCCACTCCTAATGGGAAGTGAGTGAGGGGGAAGGTGGTTGCAGGTGAGCTCTAGCTCTGGGGTTCAATCAGGAGCATCCAGTTTAAATTCAATTGAATGATAGCTCTATTGGGGAAATGTCACCTTAGGAACAAGAATAAGATGCTCCCGTGAGACACGCCTCTACCACTTCATCCTGCTTGGCCAGGGGTGCTTTCTAAATCTCCAAGGGACTCACTCCTCCCCTATCAGAGGGGCCCAGGCTACCAGCAATGTGCACGTCCTGACTCTCCCCCTTGCCCCTCAGATGAGGCATCTCAGGTTTGCAGTCTGCTGGGTGGTACAGAACGTGGGCCTGTAAGAGCACTGCGCATGTGCGATCTGGGGATTCAGGTGGGGCAGGGTGCCACGTGGAGCCTATGGTTATGCCATGAGCGTTCACATGCTCATTCTCTAAAATGCATTCAGGCCTCTGTGCTGGTATGGGTTTCTGTAAGAAGAGGCTCTCCCCTGATGCTCCAGGACTCTGTCAGAGGACTGAGAATCTCTGCCCTCTCTGCCTGCTCTCAGAGAGTGAATATATACTTGCAATATACATGGTGAACATTTAGATCTAGTGCCCTTGTGCACAAACTGAACATCCATCCATAACAGCCTAGTCTCCAAATGACCTGCTTGTGTCCCATACATAGAAATACCCTGCTGTCTCCATCCCTGCTCTAGACAGCACTCACACTGGCTGTGTCTAATGTCTCTTTTCCACTACCTCTGCTTTTTTAGAAGATAATTGCTGACGTATGGAACTTCTGTTTTACTATTTATTTTATCATCTTAGCGAAACAAAGCTAAGATTAGATTCCAAGTTCTCTATGTTGTCTCTAATGAGTATTACTTTCTTACCTTTAATTTCTTTCTGGAGGGTGAAGAGTGGGGGGGGGGCGGTGAGAATAAGGAGAGACAGAGCCATAGTATGTAAAACCAGCAAACGAATGTATTTCTTCAATCACTTTGAACAGTTTTTCCTCTATATATATTGTTTCACTTGTAAATCTCCATAGGTAGAATAAATACAAAGTATTATTTGTATATATATATGTTATATATATATATACTGTATTTATATGTATTATAATTATATAGTAGTATAGTTATTATTCCTTTGCACTGATATATCATAATTGGCTTAGACATTCTCCTACATCAGAGTATCTCTGAGGTTTTGAAAAAGAACTTTTTTCATCTCAAGGTCATAAATCTGAAGCAATGGAAAAAATCTTTTGTGTCTATATTCCCAATCTTTCTGATTGCTTTGATTTACTTGCTTGGTAACCAAATGGTGAATTGGTAATTAATATTGACTTAAAGCCAGATAATTGAGTGGATTCACTGATTCATGTTATTATATGTATGTATAATATATAGAGCTAAAGAAAACATGCAGATGAGTTTAGCAATTCAAATTATAATTTTATTTGAAATATAATTATTATCTTTTTTTTGGCAAAGTTTAATACTATATTCTAGGTCAAATCAGATTAAGCTATGCGTCACTCCTCAATAAGCAGTCTCTCAGGAAAGTGTGATGGTAATTTCATGTGTCAACTTGGCTAGGCTATGGTGCCCAGTTGTTTGGTCAAACACCAGTCTAGAAGTATTTTTTTAAAGATATGGAGAACATTTAAATCAGTAGACATTGAGTGAAACAGATTACCCTCCATAATGTGGTGGGCTTCATCCAATCAGATGAAGGCCTAAAAGCAAAGACTGAGATTCCCTAATGAAGAAGCAATTCTGTCTCAAGAATGCAATACAGAAACACTGCTTGAGTTTCCAGACTGCCTGGCGGAATTTGGATCAAGATTGCAATATCTTCCCCTACCTGAATTTCTAGCCTTCTGTCTTGCCCTACAGATTTCAGACTTGCCAGCCCCCACCATCACGTAAGCCAATACCTTAAAATAAACATCTTTCTCATATAAATATATATATAGGATATATATCTATCTCCTATTGGTTCTGTTTCTTCTGGAGAACTCTGACTAATACAGAAGGCCTATTTACTTTTTAAAATAACTTGATAATTTAGCTAAACACACTGAGATTATGGTAAGTATATGGGGAGAAGACTACAAGGAATTCAGGAGAAGGTAAGGAAGGAAGAAAATGACATATATGGTGGATGTCAGGAGGCCCAGCTCCAGTTAGATGCTTTCTCTAGATTAACTCTTCCTGAAATCTCTAGGTGCCAGTCACCCTCTTTCATAGCTGAGTTTGAAAACTCTCAGAATTCTCTCACAGTAGGAATTAATAGCATAAGCTTCAAAACTTTCATTTCTTTTAAAAAATTTGTATTAGAGAATTTGCTGTTCTCTATTGCAAATAGTTTTTATGATTTGTCTACTTTTAACGTACAGGAAGTCCAGACACAATCAGTGTCTTCAGATATCCAAAAAAAATGGCAACCATAGCCCCATATCCAACTTCTTACCTCTCTTGACTATGTTCATTTTTCTGCAAGTTATGTGCTTTCCTCCAAGCTTCACACAGATTTTGCTGTCTCCAATCAGTAAGAATTTCTTTGTCTTGACAAAGTACGTCTCTTGCAGTTTACTAAAATTCAGGCAGTTTACCTCCAAAAGGGCCCCACTGTAGAAGCAAAAAGAGAATCTGTCTTAATTCATGTAGGACTTTCCATGCATAGGGAATGGCATCATGTGTATGTTTCAGTGGTGCGACTCCAACTCTGTCCATAGGTATGTGAGCGAGTAGTTGTATGTTCGAGAGAAAAAATTAAAATAACATAGCTTTTGCTGCCATTACAATCAGTGATGATTTACTCAGACATTAGATGCAATTGAACCAGAAATAATCAAAGCATGTTCACGAAAATAATGGAAAATTTCTATTTTTTAAATAATTGATCCTTGAAAAACAAATATTTCACTTTTTATTTGATATCCTGCAGGAATGAACTGAAGAAACAAAGTCTGTAAGGAAACATTGACCAAAAAAGGGTTAAAGGAAATGATAAAATAGTCTAAAGAATTATATACAAAAAACCATATATATTTAATGGGTAATTTAGGAGTTTTCCATAGGTAATTTTGACTGTGCTTCCACTTTTAACTCACCAACAGACTTTAAAATCAACCATTCTCTCCATGCTCACTAGCTTAACATGCAATAGCAATGCTCTAGGAATTGAATTCTGTCACTTCCCAATTATTGTAAGGCTTTCAGGAAACTGAGGAAGAGAGAATCGTGCCTACTATGCAACTAACATCAAAAGCTTCAAACCGTACTCTTTTAAAAAATTCCTATTTAAAAAAAAAGTATAAGTTTTGGTTCCAGTAATGGCAGAGTAGCTTATATCACATTAACCCTCTAATATATAACTACTATAAACTTTGGACAAGGTATTTTTGAAAATCCTATTTAAAAACATTGGGTTACATCACAACATGAAAACATGATGTAATCCATGCAGAAATAGAAGTATAATGATGTACACCTGAAATTTATACAATGTTGTAAACCAATGTTACTGCAATAAACAAAATATTTAAAAAATAAATAAATAAATAAAATTTAAAAAATAAATAAATAAATACTCAGTAAAAAAAAAAAAAAAAAAAGCATTGGAGAGTAACCAAAAGCAGGCAGAAACTAGAGGGAATCTCATAGTTTAAAAAAGGGTGGATGAGATCCCTGTTTTTATTTTTTGTCTGATGTCACTCCTCAGGTCACACTATGATAGCCATCTAGAATCAAACAGAAAGCCATAGTTTTATTACCTTGAGAAGTTAGAGGACAGAGTTTTGAACTGCCTGAGTGGCTGGATATTTTTAAGGGGAAAAAGCCTAGAAATGAGGAACCTATAGAGAGGGAGACACCAAGTCTGCATATAAACTCTGTTCAAGTTATTATGTATATGTTGCCTTATTGTGTAGGTATGGAGGAGACTCCAAGGAAACCGTGGGATAACGGTAGCTAGAAGGTTCTAGAAAGAACTAAGCAGAGATTTTAGATGCTGCCTAAAAATAAAAGAGAATTTGGAGATTAGTCCAGCCAAGGCAACTGAGTAACAAGAGCTAAAATTAACACTTGCCAGGGGAAGTTAACAGAATCCCAAAAAAACCCCATTATCAATAGTGTCCTCTCTGTATTCAAAAGCTACTACAAATAACCAAAAAAGAAAAATGTGACTCATGGTCAAGACAAAAAGCAGTCAATGGAAATTAACTCTAAGATGACCCAGATGTTGGAACTAACAGAAAAGGACTTTAAAGCAGCTTTTGCAAATATGTTCAAGCGCTAAACAAAAAATATCATAATAATTATTGAACAGATATTTAATCTTAATGGATGAGTGGAAACTATAAAAGAGAATAAAATGAAAATATTATAACTGATAAGTAAAAATCTAAATTCTTTTTTAAATGTACTGAATGTAAGGGATGTGCTTAACAGCAGATTGAAGATGGCAGAAGAAAGGGTCAGTGAACTTGAAGATAGATCAATAGAAATTATTCAATCTAAAATAACAGAAAGTCTTGGTGACCTGTAGGACAACATCAAGGGGATGAATAAATATGTAATTAGAGTTCCAGAACAAGAAGAGAGAAAAAATTAGATTGAAAAAAATATTTTAAAAAATTATGGCTCGAAATTTCCCAAATGTGGAAAAAATATCAACTTTTGGGTTTAAGAAACTCAGCAAATCCAACCAGGATAAACCCAAAGAAAACCATATCATAAAACCTAAACACATCATAGTCAAATGGGTGAAAAAAAAAAGCAAATAGAAAATCTTGAAAGCATCCAGAGAAAAATATCACTTTTCATCAGAAACTATGAGAGCCAGAAGACACTGGAATAGAATCTTTAAGACACTGAAAGAGAAAACAAAAGATATCCACCATGAATTCTCATATGCACAAAATATTCTTCAATAATGAAGGCAGGGTAAAGATATATCCAGATAAAGTAAGAGATCATTTGTTTTAGGAAATTCTTTAGACCAAAGGAAAATGATACCAGATGGAATTTCAGATCTACAGGAAAGAATTAGGGGTACCAGAAAGGGCATACTTTGATGAATATAAAAGACAATATATATTTCTTCTTAAATTCTTTAAAGATAAGTGATACTTCAAGTAAATATTATAATGTTATTGTGGCATTTGTAAGGTATGTAGATGTAAAATATATGATAGCAATAGTGCAAAGGATAAGATATGATAAGATATAAGGAACTATATCATTGCAAGTTTCTTATATTTTACATGAAATATTACAATATTAACTCTAGGTAAACTCTGATAAGATTAAATATTGTAACCCTTAGAACAATCCCTAAAAAGAGATAATGACCAAAAGTGAAAATAACGAAGAAATTGATCTCAATAGTTCTATTTCTTTCAAAGAAATTAAATTTATTATTAATAAACTTCCCTACAAAGAAAACTCTATGCCCAGATGGTTGGTGAACTCTATCAAATATGTAAGAAATAGTGCCAGTCCTACACAAATTCTTCCAGAAAATAGAGGAGAAATGGACCCTTCCCAACTTATTTTATGAATTTAGCTCAACCCTGGTATGAAAAGCTGGCAAAAATATCACAGAAAAGAGATTTACAGATAAATGTCCCTCTAGAACTCATATGCAAAGTTCCTCAAGAAAATATTAACACATTGATGTTAACACATAATGACAAAGTAGAATACATCCCAGGAAATTAAGGTTGGTTCAACAATCAAAGATCAATCAATATAATTCATCATATTAACAGAACAAAAGATAAGCAATCTGATTATCTCAAGTGATGTAGATAAAGCATTTGACAAAATTCAACATCCATTTATGATAAAAAATTCTCAGCAGACAGTTAATAGAAGGACACTTCCTAAGCCTGATAAAGGATATTTACAAAAAATCAGTGGTTAATATCATACTTAATGGTGAAATTGTGAACACATTTCCTCTAAGATAAGGACAAGACAGGGATATTCACTTTCACCATTTCTATTCAGCAGTGTACTAGAGGTTCTAGTCAGCCCCTAAGGCAAGAGAAACAAATAAAAGGCAGCAGACTGGAAAGAAATAAAAAGAGATTTCCTTTATTTGCAGACAACAATTTTGTTTACATAGAAGATTATAAAGATTCTCCAATACAATTACAGGAAATAATAAAGTGAATTTATCAAGGTCAGTGTACAAAAGTCTATTATATATCCACAGGCTAGTATCAAACAGTTGGAAAATTAATTTTAAAAACAACAGCTCCATTAATGATAGTGATAAAAACATAAAATGATTAGAACTAAAATTAATAAAAGATGTTCAAGGCCTTTGCAATGGAAATTACAAAGCATTCCTGAGAGCTATTAAAAGAGATCTAAATAAATAGAGAGCTACATTCATGGATTAGCAAATTCAGTAGGGAAAAGATGAAAATTTCCCCAAATTAGTCTATATAATATTAATCAAAATCTCAGTAGGATTTAAAAGAAATTGACAACCTGATTCTAAAATTTGTGTAGAATATAAAGAACTCAGAATAGCCAAAACAACATTGAAAAAGTAGAACAAATGTCAAGGACTCAGCACTTGATTTCAAACTCACTGTAAAGCTGTGGTAATCAGGACAGTTTAGCATTGGTATAAGGATAGATAAGTTGATCAATAGGGAATGTAAATGAATGCAGACAGTATAGAAAACAGTATGGATTCCTCAAAAAATTAGGAATAGAACTACCACATGATCCAGCTATTCCACTTCTTGGTATTTATCCAAAGAACACAAAAACACGAATTTGAAAAGATATTTGTACCCCTACGTTCATTGCAGCATCATTCACAACAGTGAGACTTGGAAACAACGTAAGTGCCCATCAA